CACTACTCAAATATATCTGAGAGTACAATCATGTGACTTAAAAATAGATAAGAGCTTCCATATTTGGCCAACTGAAGCAACTTGGCACAGGCAGTGAGTGATCTGATATGAATGTGTATATTTATATGCTTCTATATTGGATTATCTTAATTTGTAAATGTATATACTGCAACATATAGTTTCATTGTGAGAAGATTTTTCAGTTAGAGGAAACAACTCTATTACTAGGATCCTTTTGACAAGAAGGCCAGCAGTGACTCTTATCACACTCCAATATATTTTCTTTGGCTCCTACATCCTCACTTAACAGCATAGTTACTGTAGACTATATTTATTTAATTTCCACTTCAGATATTCAACCATAGCTCACTATATTTTCCTTTGAATTTCATTTCTTGCCTGTAATTCATATATATGGAAAGGCAGAGGAACAGCATAGCCTAAAGTGAGGAGAGATATAATGAGGAAAATCTTCAGTGACCTCTCATTTAATTTTTTTTTTAAATCCCACTGTTTGGCCATCAATCTTAAAACTACTGATGAAGATTAGACAAAGGCTCTATCAAGTGGTGCTCCTGGAGAAAACTGCCTATTGAGAAACAGGGATCCTTATCGTTTTCGAGCTATAGTTTCACAGCTATGCTATATCGTAATAAAGCGCGGAAGGTGAGCAAGTAGGAAAGGATACTACCACTAAGTCAGGCCAAACTCTTAGGCTAAGGACAGACATTCAGAAAGCCAGAGCCTGAATTGATTCAATCTTTGTGGGTTACTCTAACCTGGCTAGGCTGAATCACTTTGTAATTGGTCAGACATTCCAGAAATGCAGGCACATGCCTGCAGTGGCTCAGGCTAGAAGCCGGGGGGCACTAGAGCAGCCCTCCCTTCCCTTGCACAGGCTGAGCTGGTGGGGGGGGCCATGTCCAGGCCATGGCAGGATTAGGGAGGGTCCACCCACCTTGATAACAGAGCATTTATCAGCTCTGTTATCAGCATTTATTACCTCATCAGAAAGCAAACAGCCTCTCTCATTAGTTCAAACTCTTCCTAAACAAAGAAGGAATGGAGGGACATTACCAACTGAACTGTTGATTAGTTCCAAAAGCCCTAAACTAGCACTACTGTCTGCCATGGCACGGACCGTAGCCAGGATGTGGTCTGCTAGCTAATGCTGAGGTAGGTGACTGTGTAAAACAGAGGGGACGGGGAAGCCCTGCTTAGCAGGGAGTGGGGAGGGGAGGGGGAAAGCAGGAGGAAACCAGGCAGACACTGCTGTATCTGCAAGTCTGCTGGAGCTGCAGCCAGGGAACAGAGAGGAGGGTCCGGCCCTGCTGTGGAGCAGAGTCCCACCCCACCCAGAGAGCATACTGGGATGCTGGGGGACTCTGGTTTATCTTAAACCAGCAAGGGGTCTGGGACAGACATTGTATAAACTGGTTTGACCCAAATCAGTTAAGTCTGATACTACATTCAACCAGGTTTATCTCAAACCGGTTTCAGCCATTTTCAAACTGGTTTATGTGCACTGAACATCTATTCTGTTACAGGTTTAAACCAGTTTCTGATCACTTAAACCGATTTATGTGTAATGTCTGTCGCTAGCCTTAATATTAAAGGGAATTATTCTTACTGCTGACATGGAAAAAAAATGAAGTATTCAAAATAAATTGAAAAATGATGTTGACTTTTGTGTATTTTAATCTTTGTGCCTTCTTTTCTCCCTTTAAGTTTTTCCACTGCCAAAATGTGGGGATTTAAAAAAAGGGGGGGGGGGAGAGTAAAGGAGAAGGGAGGAGGCCCATAGAAGAAATTAATGTAATTCTGTGTGATATTTTGATTGTCAAGAAGCCATTTTAATCGAATTTACTAGAGCTGTTTAAAATTCTCTTAACATGGAACAGCTTTGATGTGCCATGCTACATTTATCTTGATTCACTTTCTTTTTCCCATGGTTGACTTTAAAATTACAATGTTGAGTTCTGTTTGTAACTCTAGATAACAATCTTTATATTTTTTTTCTAAGATAGTTCAGCAAAGGACATCATAAATAGCTGATCTTAGTATGCGTCTTTTCCTAGAAGGACCTACTTAAATACATTTTTTTACCTTATTCATACTACTTGCACATTGATGAGAGGTTTTTCTTTTCTTTTCTTTTCTTTTCTTTTCTTTTCTTTTCTTTTCTTTTCTTTCAAATCCGACAGCAAATCAAACTATCAGTTTCCTTTTCTGATCTATAAGCCAACACAGATATAGATTGAAGTCTGAGACTTGGCAAAATTGAATCTTTGATTAGCCAGCAAAGTTATTAAAGAGTATGCCAAGTTGGAAACTAACAGCTACCTCCTCCGCCAAATCTAGTCAGCTACCATCACTTTGGACATTAATTCTTGTTTTTCTTAGTCATTTTGTTTTGCTCGATTTAATCATGATAAAATAGAGAGTGAGTACAGTCTTAAGACTAAATGTTAAAAGGTCAAGTGGACTGGACAGCATTGAAATAAGTGAAGCTGATTTTTGATTGTTCAGAATTGTAATATAATATTTTTTTGTTTTCTGCAATATGGGGAGACGTGAACAGAGTGTTTTAATGCTAGGCAGTTAGGTATGTTATGATTCCCTACTGTAAAGACATTATAAAGTTGCTTATTTAACTCACAGGAATGCAACAGAGCAAATAGCAACAGTGTAATGTTCCTACTATCATTCTGTTCTTGGCACAGTTCATTCTCTTGACCATGCTGGGCTTTTTATTTGAGCTGAAGGTAGGTTGCTTTTGTTTCTCAACTCACAGTTCTGCATGCAGTTGCTTGAAACAATGACTGATACAAGAGTTGGAAAGGACTTTTGAGAGCCCATGCAAATTATAAGAGAAAAGGAGAAGCTCCCATAAGTTCTTGGAAGCAACACCAATTTCTGTGGTCTTTAATGAAGAACACACAATGGCCAGAGCTAACTCTTGGTTTAAAAAAAAAAAAGACTTTTTTCTCTTTGTGCCGGGCTTTGAAAACTAATATTCATGTGCGTCACATAGCCCAGGAGAGACAGCAGAAAGCATTCTCATAATACATATAGAGAGTCAGAAACTAAAACCAGCATTGCATACATGCTGCAGTTGAGAGACTCCATTCTCCCCTACTCCAGGTTTAATTTAACTGTTCTATGAACAATAGAAAGAAGAATACTTCTAGCTGATTTCCAATTTTATGTTAAGTTTATGTCAGTAGTTCATGTCAGCTAGTTATCCCAAATGGTGGTGGTTGGCGATGTTATTGTTACTGTTGTTGTAATAGTAGTTGTTGTTGTTTAGAATTTTATTAGTATTGGGCAGTGATTTATTATTTGAGGTTGCAACTCTTGTGTTGGGAGCATGCTCAGGACCCCTGAGCTGTGGCCAGACAGCTGCATGGCAAAACAGAATTTCATAGCTTAGGGGTGGGCAATGTTTTTGCAGTGAGGGCCCCTTTAAATGTTGTAGCAAGTCCTTCAGGACTTCAGGTTTCTCATTGACTTCCAGCAGTGAAAATGTCTGCGTTATGGGATTTACTTTCAAAATATAGTTTTGTGAGGTTCCCAGGCAGCAGTCCTCTGAGAGTTAAGTTTTTGTGTCCAAAGCAAATTCTGGCAATGTAATAAGCTAACATGATTAGCAGAAAAAAAGAGAAAAAAGACCTCTAAATTTAGTACTAGATTCAACTACTGGGAAAGCCACTAAACTTATTCTCACATTTTGATTAAATCTAATGTGAAGCACCATCTGTCATTTGCTAATTTTCTAGTAAGTATATTTCAGTAGCTACAATGAAACTGCTACTGAATTACACAGTGGTATGTATCATCCTGGAAAATACTAATGTTTGCAAAACATCACTAATTATTGGAAAATGTAGAAGGATAGACCAAAAGCCATACAACTATTTTTTTCTCCTAAGGCTTTTATATATTTATTCAGCATCTTATTTAGTGTGTATTGTTTCCTATCAAGTAAATTTATCTTCTACACAAAGATTATTTAAAAGACTTCAGCTTTTTTTGCTTACTGTGTATGCCAAAGATCTGTTTTCCATAAGACTTATGTCTGTTTCAACTTACATTATAATTACAAGTAGTTCAATACTCTGATTACAATATAAAAATAGAATTTGCTATAGTATATATAAATAGTACAAAGAACACATTTTGCAGAGTGACACACAAATAGCTTATAATATTGGAAACAAAATGGATAACAGGGGAGTGAGTAAAGTGAAGGTAAAAATTCTAACATCTTCTCAAAGGAAGCGGGTGGACATAATTTCTGCAAAAAGTAATCTGGGTTCTCTGATAATCTATTTTTGGTGGGTGCACACAGATACTTTAACCTTTGCACAGTTCAATCAAGCATATGTATAAATGTTCCTAATCTTATGATCTTTTGAATATTGTCTTCTCACTTTGACTTTCCACACTTTGACTTCCACCTCTTCACATTGGAGTGTGAACTTCCCGGGAGGCATTTCTTTTATGTTTTAAATTACTCAGAATTTCCATCTGCTTTCACTTGACTTGTGGTCATGAAGATCATGCTTGGCCCATGGGATCTTACAGTGTGCCGAGAGGATGTGGAGTTTTGTCAGCCAGTGAAATATGTCTGGCTTTTTTTTTTTTTCAGAAGCTTTCATATGTGTCTCATCTTGTGTGGTCCCACTAAACTGAGTATATTTAACAGGACTACTCACCCCCTTTATCTTCTTCTGTGAGTTGCCCTCTATAAAGAAGTTGTGTGTAGGAAATATGAGAGCCCAAAAATATGATCCAGGGTAAAGGGAAATAAATATATAAAAGCAAAATGGTGTTATATAGGGAAAGTACTTCAATAGTTGCACATTATTTAGTAGCTGAATATCAGATATCTATTATATACAAACATAAGTTTGCAGTGTCAGAAAATGCTTATTCCAGCTATAGAATTAAGTATGCCTTCTCTGTTGAAACTGGTTTGCTTTATATTTTGTTTTCAGGCATTGCTGCAGTCTGCAGTTCAGCAGCAAGAAACAGCCATTGAAAAACAGTATATCTCTGCAATTGAAAAACACTCACACAAGTGTGAGGAACTACTTAATGCTCAGGTAATAAAAATACATTTCTACATGTCTACATGTGCAGTAATAGACTATAGTAATATCTGTGTGCAATCCAGAAAAACCCTTTGAAACTATTTCGTTTCAAGCCATTTATTTTTTCTGCTTTGTTTGAAAGACAGTGGCTTCTTTGACCACAAACCAAAAATCATTGACCATTCCTTATAATATCCTCAGGACAGCAATGCTTACAGGCAAAATGAAATGGAAACATAACTAGTTCTTAACTCATAAACCTGATATTTTTCTTAATGCTGAACTGAAAGATAAGATGAAATTTATATGGGAAAGACTCAGATTTGGGTCCATAACATGTGGTGCCAATGTGTGGTAACACACTAACAGCTGCCATCCAAAAAATGTTTATTTCAGTAAAACCTTTGCAATTGTCATGGAATTGTGATGAGAAGTACATTACACGTGAAATATTTAAACTGTTAATTCATGCTAATTCATTAATTTTTAACTTTATTAGTTCCATGAGCTTGGTTTAGTTTATATAAATTACACTCATGAACCAACATAAATGCTATAAATAAGGCATAAATATAAAAAATGTTGTCAACTAATCTCGTAAAGGCATTCTAAGTTTGTTTGGGTTTCAGTTAACTTCTTTCTTATATACTGTTGAAATCTACACCTCTAACAGTAAAAAAAAATTAATAGCAAAGTTTGTTTTCATTCTTGTTGTGTGATAGCAGCTTAAACATCTAAATGCAGCTGAAATCAACTTGAAATATTATTTAATATTATGTTTCAGAAATGTAAAGATAATTGGATAGTTAATAAATTCCACCAGAGATATTTTATAGCTGTCTGACTTATAACCCTATCAGCTGAAGAGTTTGTGACAAGCATGTAGTCATTTGTGTAAATTGTATAATGGAAAGGTACACAGCAGTTTGGAAAAAGAAATTCATCCTTGGGCAAGGGGCACATTGCACAGAACTGCAGAGCTATTGAAGGCATGCCATATAGATATGCCTAAATACACTAAAAATGGATTCAGACTTTTTGTGAAGGATTTTGCTGTTTACAGGCAGAACCATTGCATTGTTGACCCACTGTAGTATCTTTGAGTAGTATATATAGGGGAACCCCGAAAAGGTTGGAAATATTGTGGGAATAGGCTTTTGTGTATATGGGTTTTTTTTTGGGGGGGGGCGAGGGGCGGGTTATACTTCGTTCCAGCTGATCAGAAATATTGCTGTTGTATACTATGCAAACCAGGAAGTGGATGGACTAGTGTCAAAACTTGAGGGGCAGGATGCTTAACAATTTTTGAACCTCAAAAGAGTTTGCATCTAGTTTGTGAAAGTTCAAATCATTTATTTAATTCAATCAAGTTTTACCATCTCTGGCGGTAATATGAGAGTCTGGGAAAGTACAGTGTAAGTACTAAAGAGGGAGAAGGAAGGCAGACAAACACTGAAACTCTTCAGTGGAAATACTTAGTTAAATAAAATAGCATTTACATTCATAAATAATCATCAGATCTCTTTTGAGATGCCTGAGAAACATGTATGTCCCTGGCTTCTTTTGACCATATCTATTATCTAGTTTATTCTCTCATCAGATATTTGTTTTTATTTTTGTCTATAGTATTTCCTGTACATGCAGTCATGCCCAAGAAACCTGTTTGGCAAGACTATTAAGAATTATATAGCACAGGATATATTGTCTCAAGGCCTGTAAGAAATTCCCATTAAAGTTAAATATGTGCATAATGACCTGAAACAGCTCAAAATGAAGTAAGGAGAAATGTTGATTGCGACTTCCAGCTAAAACCCTTCAAGAATATATCTTTTTTTTTTTTCTTCAGCTCTTTTGGTGTTACATTATCCTATTTGACAGGCAAGGTTCTTTGAGTAGATGCAATATCTTTTATTAGATCAACTGAGTAGTTGGAAAAAAGTTCTTGGCAAGCTTTTGGGTGCAGTCACTCTTCTCCAGGCATGGGAAGTCTCTGCTGTTCTGAGAATCCAAGAAATGAAAGAAGCTAAAAGTGTGGTAGGGTGTCAGTGAAAATGTAAATAGATAGAATTAGAAAGACAAGGTAAGGCAGAGTGGGGAGGGGGAGAGGGAAGGGGAGGGGGAAGAGAGCAGAAGAAAAAAGGCTGATGGGAGGCAGTGCAGTGATAGAGTACAAAGTAGAAAAGAGGCTGTCAGGCAGATATCTGGTGAATCAGATGTCAGGCAGGTTGTAATGTGTCAAAAAACTAATGTCTATATTGAGTCCATGATTTTTTGTATCCAGTAGACTTATGAAGTGAAGTTCGTAGGCTCGCCTATGGAAGGTGTTTTGTAAGTTCCTTTGAGGATTAGAACTGCGAGATCGGAGAGGGAGTGATTGTCCTGTGAGAAGTGTGCACCCGCACACAGGTAGTTGGGCATTCTTGTCTTTGATAGATTTTTGGTGTGCATTCATTCTGGTGCACAGTTGTTTGGTTTCTCCAACAACAATTTCTCCGATTTAGTTTCTCCAATTTTCTCTCAGGGCATTTGTTGCACTGGATGAGATGTAAAACATTTCTGGAGGTGCAGGTGTACGATCCAGGAATGGTGATGGTTCTGTTGTGGGGTGTAGTTATAGTGGGGGTGGTGGAGATGTTGGCAGGTTTTGCATTTCTTGTCCTGGCATGGTCTCGATCCATTTATCAATGTGGTTTTGGTCATAGGGAGTTTGCTTCTGGTGATGAGGTTAGCAAGGTTCAATGCTTGTTTGAAGGCTAGGATGGGTGGCTCTGGAAAAATCTCTTTAAGCATTGGTTCTTCTTCTAGTATGGGTTGCAACTGTTTGAGGATTTTCCATGTAGGTTCCAGGGAAGGGTGATATGTCATGACTAATGGTGTGTGATTTGTGTGGATTTTCTTCTTATACTGCAGTAAATCTTCATGTGGTATCTGGGTGGCTCTTTCAAAGGTACGATCTATCTCTCTGGAGGAGTGTCTTTGTTGGCTGAAGGCCCTTTTGAGATTTGTCAGGTGGTGGTCATTGGTATTCTCCTTGCTGCAAATTCAGTGGTATCGGAGAGCTTGGCTCTATATTACAGCTTTCTTGGTGTGTTTGGGGTGATTGCTAGTTCTGTGTAGATACGTATGTTGGTATGTGCGTTTCTTATGTATGGTGGTTTGAATTTTACCATCTTGGATATTGATCATGGTGTCCAAAAAGGAAATGCTGGTGTTAAGTGATAGTCTGATGGAGGGGTGATGATTGTTGAAGTTTTGGTGGAAATCAATCAAAGACCTGAAGGGTTTCGGTCCAAATGTTGAAGATGTCATCTATGTATGTCAAGTAGATTAAGGGTTTGATGGTGCAGTCCTTGAGGAAGTTTTCTAGGTGAGCCATAAAAAGTTGGCATATTGGGGGACCATTTTGGTGCCCATAGCTGTGCCCATAGTCTTATTATCCTATTTGCTTATTCTATCATAACTTCGGGCACAGATCTGTTCACTTTTTTGCCTTTGGTATTCTCAGTTATGAAGTCATAGTAATAATGCTTTCTGACCTTACAAAGGGGTCTACCGATGAAAAGTACAATATAGCAGCTATGGATTATACCATTTTTATTATACATATTTTAGTTATTATTTGTTCATAAATCAAAATCAGTCTTAGAGTTTCCCTTTTTGGTACACAATGATAAACTCCATCTGTGATGCCTTAAACTGAGAACTGATTGTAAGGTAGTTGTAACACTGTTTTGTACTTTTACATTGATATCCCTCAATATGTTATGGTGCCACTGAGGGTCGAGAAGCAGGTAGATTTTTTTTCTTAAAAGTAACTGGAGAGTTGTACCATGTTCTTAATTGGCCAGGATTAAAGAAAAGAAAGAGTGAGTGATAATGTGTATCATTACACATATAAAAACAAATATAAAATACTAATTATTTGTTACATTTTATCATTAGTATATTCATTGCAATTCTTGAGCTCGTATTTGACATCACTGCAAAAATGAAATTGTAAAAATGCTATAGTGCAGCACAGTGGATACTCCTAAAATTCAGTCTGGTTTTAAAAGTATAACTGGGCTCTCATTTCAATAGGTATATGAAAACTCTATTTAACTATTAAAAATGGAAGTCATGGAACATTAAACTACTTAGGATGTCATTTAGGAAACTAAGGCCCATGGTAGATGTTGCAGTTAAAGTAAGATCAGCTTTTTGATGGAGGAATATATTGTAACATGTCACTGGGTTTTTGGTTGTAGCCATGTTGGTCTAAAGACCTTAACAAGCTTTTAGGTGCAGTCACCCTTTGTCAGGCATAGGGAGTCTCTGTAGACCAGCAAAGACTCCCTAAGCCTGACGAAGGGTGACTGCACCCGAAAGCTTGCTAAGAACATTATTCCAAATATTCAGTTGGTCTAATAAAAGATATCACATCTACCCAAAGAACCTTACCTGCCTTGTAATATGTCAGACAAGGTTCCTTGGGTGAATTTGATATCTTTTATTAGACCAACCCAAATGGTTGGAGTATAGTTATTAAGCAAGCTTTCGGGTTCAAAAACCCTTAGTCTGGCTAAGGAAGCTTCAGCAGTTGGTGTGTGCTCTTCCTGGATGGATGGATGTAATATGTCACACATTCAAGCAATTTATCACCTGATAACTAGCTGCAAAAATGGTTATTAAATCTCATAGATGTTACTTGTTAAATGGCATGTTGCATATACAGGGATAGTATTTGGTCAGATCTTCCAGTATCCCAGAGTGGACTGAATTCATAGTTTCATATATGTTGGGGTCGGAAGGGACTTATTTGATCATTGAGTCTGACCCCCTGCCCCAGCCAGGTGTCTGTCCAATCTCCTTTTAAATAACCCAAAGGGAGAGGACAGCACTACCTCCCTTGTAAGCGTATTCCATATTTTGGCAACCATCACTATAAAGATTTTTTTTTTCTAATGTCCAGTCTAATACTGTCGGTGATAGTCCCAGAGTATAGTAGTATTTTGCAGCATTTCTATGATCAC